TTGCAAAAGTTCCATTTTCAAATTTTAACCCCCCCAAAAATCCAAAATGGCGGACCTCTGAAAACAAAAAAACACGTTTTTTTCAACCGGATGTAGCTCGAAAACGGTAAGAGATAGAAAAGATTTGAAAGTATATCCAGGAACAGGAATTAAATTTTATACATAACCCTCTTAGGCGTTTTCCGAAAATCGCACTCCTTAACCTTCAAAAAACGCCCTACTTTCAAAATTTAGTAAATTTCTTACAAAAGATTTCCGGTTTTGCTATTTTTTTATACTTAAATAATTCTTTTTTGCAGATATTATTAATGCTCTGTATTCTCCTTAATTTACTCTAAATTCTACTCATTTAATGTTTTTTTGTATCTTTTCTCCTTAACCCCCAAAACTTAAGTTTAATGTCAAAATTTGAAGGTGTTTTACCACGTTTACAAGCCCCATGTAATTCATATGGACAATAAGATTGAAATATAATTAGAGATATATATATATATATAATTATATATATATATATATAATTATATATATTATATAATGAGTTGGTTCTCGCTCTTATTTTTGCATCTAGATTTGACTATACCTATCAACTACTACAGGGTAATGCTGTATAATGAGTTGGTTCTCGCTCTTATTTTTGCATCTAGATTTGACTATACCCATCAACTGCTTTAGGTTCGGGTATTCGTATATGCTCTGAATTTATGTATTTTTCTGGGTTGAGTTACACCGAAGTCCTTAGTCTGCATTTAATTTAAATTATCTCAGACTTCGGTGGTTGCGATCCAGGCGTTTTTAAGTCACTAGTTGCTTATTTGATATGGCTTTCAATTGCATCGTTAGTGGGTCATTTCATCAAGGTGACCCTCGGCGATATTCGTACAGCCGAAATGCACAATGTGTAGCCAACTCTGCCTGCGCAGTCGCCTGGATGTGTCTCGGCAAGGAATTTTCCACTTCCTCCATTGACTTAATTCTTAGTAGTGGAGATTCTATGTACAGAACTCTGCGAAACGAAAATTGTGTTGGTGGCGATCGTTTTTTATTTCCCGATGAACTCCCAAGAGAGTTCGATGTAGCAGATAGCCATGTTGTTACCCATTTCTAGATTAACTGGATATCTGAAATTTGGCATGATTGTAGTTTTTGCGCCCTTTTCGAAAAGTGACATTTTACAAATATACAGTTACTCCCCCCCATGAAAATTACAATCCCCCCCCCAATGTTATTCCTACAGGTGCATCAGTCTAAATCAATTTTACCCACTTCTGAAATTTCAGATCTGAAATTTGGCTCAATTGCAGGTCTTGCGCCATGGCCCATTTGTATTTACCCCCGACCAAAAAAGGGGGCCTGGGGGCGGAGCCCCCAGCGAGCCAAAGGCGAGTTTCAAATATAAACTTACAATACACAACAGCGTCTTATCTGCGTTTAGCTGTAGCTTGTTACATTGAAACCAGGTTTTAGTTTCCTCAAAGTCATTTTGAGCCCAATTTGCTGCCCTAACAACCAGCTCATCAACATTGCTGCACCTGGTGATTACGGTGGTGTTGCCAGCATATAACAAGCATTACAAGTCAGTGTTGCTTACATTGAAATCGTTGATCATGATCAAGAACAACGAAGAAGGCCCAAGGGAGGAACCTTGAGGCACACCATGGACTGACACTAGTTGCCGTCTTCCAGAAAGGTAGGACTCAAGAATCCCCAGGACTGCACCATTCAGCCCGTATCTTACTGCCTTTTCCAATAACAGCTTATTTGACACACAGTTGAAAGCTTTAATTAGGTTGCACAGAGTTAGCTGTGTGGTATCTTTAGCTTCAAATGTTTAGTGCAAGGTGTTGCCAAGCGTTTCAACTGCAGTGACAGTGGACTTATTCTTCTGAAGTCGCCCATGCCGTGCTGCATGTTATTGAATAAGTTGTTGGTTTCAAAGTATATCTGTAAAGTTGGTTGTTCATAACAGTTTCCAGTATTTTAGCCAAAGTAGGTGTGATGGCTATAGGGCGATTACTACTAACTAACAAGGCTCAGATCAGCTTTTTCTCTACACTGGAATGGTTTTGGAAATCACTTCGTCAGGAAGATCCCACAGTACAAGCACTTATTGAAAATGTGGGCCAAAGGAACAGCAATGGGTTCAATTACTCTAGAGAAACTCTATGGAAATACCATAAATATCTGACTTGGTGAGGCCTTAAACTTTTTACCAATATTCAAGATATCAGATGGGGGTAAGTAAATCCAATTGGAAAGATGACAGTTAGCTACTTCAACATTTGCGGCTGTGTCAGCACGGCAGTCAGGGATATCCTTAACTATATTGTTGACTACTTCTGTTAAGTAAACATTGATATTATCAGGGCTGGATGAACATTCCATGACAGATGCAGAACATCTACTTTGGTTAATAACATTCCATGCGGCTTTACAAGAGTTATAGGCACTGTCAATAAAACCTTCAATGGACTTTCGATTGGCCGCATCAACCATGTGACCATGGTCACGTTTTACTTTGACTTACAAGGCTTGAATTCTATCGTGTACCACACCACGGCTGTTTGACACCGGTCATGAAGGTACAGAGCCCATCGTTTATACATTTTCAGCTCACCAGTGTTATATTCAGGAGTTATAGATGGCTTTTTAGGTATAATATTTATATAATTTAGGTATAAAAAGGGCAGGTCCATATCACATGAGTTGGCAAATAACGTCACTAGATTAAATTTTGTCCTTAAGCACTGAACATTTAGGCTAGCCACTCTAAGGTTATATGGCACTGATGATGTGTTGCCGCAGTTAAGTCCTAGCCCATTTGGATTTGATTCACTCTCTTGCAGCCTAAAAAATGGTTTCTATTCTGGTAGCGTTTTGATGAATCTAGGTTTGTTGTCACTTACTAAAATACCAGTAGGCCACATTTCTGCCTTCAAGACATTTTCGTTATCTTCACATTTGACAGCAGTTTTAAACTATTTATATCCTGGGAATTTTGTTTTACCCTCTTTTCAGTGGACTTTTGAAGCGTTATTATGCGACTAATGGCTACAGAGAAAATACAAAAAAAATTTAAATTAAAAATTCCCATGTTATTCTTATGGAGAAAATTGTAAACAGTTTTAGTCTGCTTGTTTATGAGCATATTTGATCAAATTTGGAAAATGCATTAATTTCATACTAAACTATTAACATTTTACAAAAAAACACCTTTTTACCCTCCCTGTTGCAGCAAACCTAAGTACTCGTTAAACTAATGCTATTTAAATAGGGAATAAATGTGATATTTTAAAGGAGACATTTTAGTGTAAATCCAATTAGGCAAATGGAAATTCGCTTAATCTGCAGGTTTGCTGAGTCGGGGGTATTTAGTACATGCTGTAATTAACTTATTTACTGTTTTTTTCCCTTGAAAATATCCTTTCTTGTCTGTCAAAAAAAAAATAGTTTCTGATTAAGCAGACTACCGAAGTTCGGATTATTCGGACTATATAATCCAGGACTAGTTAAATAATGCATACATTAGTGCTCCTATTGAGCTAAACGAAAACGTTGTTTATTTGAGTAAGGAAAAAGTTGTTTATTGATTGTTTTTTTTTTTTAGAAAAAATGTATTGGTTAGGCAGAATCATTTTTTTCCTGGATTGGAAATGTAGTATGAGTTTCGGACAGCTCAGCTATACTGAAATAACGAATTCGAACCCTTTAAGAAGCGAAATTCTTATATCTAGATTGGAATTTTGCTGCCGAAATGAGCTTTGCAAGGCTGCCGCTACAATCCCTCGCACGGAGGCTGCGCTACTCTCTCTCTCCCTCTAAGCCGATTCTTTGTCTCACTCTCTCTCACTCAGTCAGCTGACTTGGCCGCTCGCTTGCGATAGTCTACCTAGCGGCTGCCGCGGGAACTATCAAAAATTCAAATATTCCTAGACTGAATTTTTTACCAAAAGGCATTGCACTTCCTATAAGTTTTGTATTCATTGGCTAAAATGATCTTTTTTGTATACAGAGTGATGCAGTTTTTTTTAACAACAGGTGAGGAATTTCAGTAAGGAATTAATTAGCTACAAAGGATTAACTGATAAGGATTAAGGAGTAACTGTTATGCAGTTACTGAGATCAGGTCTATATGCGAGACTGCTGGTGTTTTAAGCATCTTGGATCACCGTAAAACAACAAAATAATACATTTGCAGCACCATAACTTACCTTATGGTAAAAAAAATATTGACAAGCATTAAAAATAACTGGTGCACCTGTTGCTCGAATTCGAGCAATTGCAAAGTATGACGGGCGTTATTTCAAAACGAATAGGCCTAACAGTTGTAATTTCCAATTACTTAAAAGAGTCAACTCAAAGATATTGTAATCAATCACTCCACTCTAGTTATCGAAACTGAAAACAAACGCTCTTGTGTGTATCATGTGTTTATGAACAGCTGTAATTAATACAAATTATTTGTCCGTTTAAAGCACGGGTCACACTAGGCTGGCATCAGCGGCGAATTGAAAGAAGCCGTGACTGTCAGCTTAATGTGACCACAAAATTCGCAGCTGACACTGAGCTGACTCAGCCTGGATTGGTGAGCCGGTGATGCTGGTGCCAGCTGCTGATCACCAGCGGCTGGCGAACATCCTAGTGTGACCCGTGCTTAAGTAAACAAAATCTTTTATCCATTAGAAATACATTGGGATCCACGAGTTGGTGAAAGGGGGCATCTACATAAACAACACTTCATTTTGACACATCGTTTGTAAAAATCTGTCCATTATTAACGGAGGAGTAGTGTTTCGTAGAAATCGCCTTCACGTATTATATATAAGGATGGTGACATTTATTTGAATTGTGATTTATTATTCCATAAGACATTTGACACTAGCCAACTTAGAAACAAATAATTATATGCTTCAGGTAACACATTTACTTTCAGGTTTTTTATAGTGCTATTGCACTAGTGGAGTCAAACAAATTTGTGTTTCGCCAGTAGACTAACCACTAACCAGTATGGTTCCTTGTAACTTCCAGCTGGTTGAAGACTCGGTTGGCCTTCCACCACCAGTGGTGTTTAGTCTGGGTGAACTTAGCCTCCCGGTAATGGCCATACAGGTCGGGTGTCAAGGCATTGATGCACTTGCGGATGGCAGCCCTGACAACATGACATGAAAATATCATTATGGATACAGCATGGTAGATTAGAACTAAATAATAAACAAACCTACCAGAAAAGTGGGTTTGTAAACCATCATGATGTATTGATAATAATTTTTTTGAAACACTGTATTTTCTGGAGTTTAAAGGCAAAAGAGTCTGAACAGCTGGATATAGGCCTAGCTATTCAGCAAAATGTTGAAGAACATATGTACACAATATAAGATCTATCTCAATAATACAATAAGTGCCATTTAGCTTATCTTAAAATTCAATAACATACCACATTCGGATAATCCAAAATTTGGTAGTTGGATTTTTATTTTACTGATATTCAGGATTTTTTTTAGAGAAAATATGCCGAGTCTAGCCGTGCTTGTACTATTGCAATCAAACAACGTGTCTGCGAAGATTTCCCTGTTGAAATATTTATGATTTCGCCGCGATCACGGAGGACGATTATGATTTTTTGCGACTGCAACAGACGAAGATGGTGTGCTCAAGACCGGGGAAGATATGATCAAGTTTGATGGTAAAGGTATGATAAAATAGTTTATTTTACAGCAATCTCGTAAAAAATTACACTGTTTCTGTGAGAGCGGTGACAATGATGATGTTTCCATGATTGCAGGAGACAATGATAATGTATGCAAGACCACGAGTGGATCCAACATTTTGCCGCAATCACGGAAGACAACAATTATGATTCCATGACCGCAGGAGACGATGATGATGTCTACAGCACCGTGGGGATATGTGCAAGATTTTACTGGGATCACGGCTTCTGCCTTCTTTAACAGCGATTCTTATTACCGTGTTTATATAAATATACGTATATTTAAATTCTATCTGTTAGTAATTTGGATAATCGGCAATTTAAATAGTTGGTGATTAAGCATCTTTTTATTTAATTAAAAAATAAGTAGATTTTATTTTATTGTATTTACAAAATATTCATTTTATCTTAATAGGTAACTCAATTTGTAGTTTCATAAATATTTAAAACTTTGCATTCCATTTGTTAGAATAATTCTCATGAAATGGTTTCATTCATTCATTGTAGTTAGTTAAGTAAATCACTCATAGATAGGGTAAGCTGCCAGGTTGGGTACAATGGTCATGCTGGACGGTCTCAACGGTTGCTTCAGTGGTCAGAGAGTGGATAGAGACAGAGACAGAATGTGACATGTGTTTGTACTTGGACTGAAGAGAAGATTTTTCACCATGTAGTCGTAAGTCAGACATTTATAGACATTAATTTCAAGGGTCATCAGCATCCCTTTCTCATTATTAATTATTCTTAGGGTCAGCAGTATACCTGCATATTTTCAACAAACTTTTATATTCAGTGTGCTGTACCATAGACAAAAAGAATGAAATATAGACTGTCAGCCGTGCTGCGGTTGCCATGGTTACCATAGGTTCCGGCGCACACCGCTGTAGTTTACGTAGCGCGTACGCCGTAACTACCGTGGTGCTCCAAGCGGTGTGCGCCAGAACCTATGGTAACCGCAGCACAGCTGACGGTCTATATTTAATTCTTTTTGTCTATGGCTGTACACAATTGTGCAATCCTGAACAAGCTCCAATATAGTACAGTAGTCACTAACTGAGGCTAATAGAGCCACTGCAGCTCAAATCTTCAACCCATCTGTGGTCTAGTGGTCAGAGCATTTTGAGGGTGGGGGACGTCGAAGTCCAGTCCGTTCGTGCCGCCAAGTATCTTGGTGTCATGGTGGACTCTAAGCTTAGCTGGCGGGACCAGATATTCCGAACGGTGGACAAGGCCGCTAAGGTGATCTCTTCTCTTAGCCGGTTAATGGCCAATGTCGGAGGTCCTCGTTCCAGTCGCAGAAGGCTGTTGATGTCTACAGTTCAGTCTGTGCTCCTGTATGGTGCGGAGGTGTGGGCAGACGCGCTCAATAAGGAGGTGTATAGGATGCGGCTTGCCAGAGTGCAGCGTCAGGCAGCACTCAGGGTAGCATCCGCCTACCGAACAGTGTCTGAACCTGCCATCTTGGTGGTTGCTGGAGTAATCCCCGTCAAACTTTTGGCGGCGGAGAGGAAAGCGATTTATCAGCGGCATGGAGAGGACCATGCAAAAATGGAGGAGCGCAACCGCACCTACCAGCTCTGGCAGGAGAGCTGGGAACAGGAGTCGCGGGGACGCTGGACCAGGAGACTGATTCAGCAAGTCCAACCATGGGTTGACCGACGGTATGGTGAGGTGGACTATTACCTTACCCAGTTTCTGACAGGTCACGGGTTTTTTCGGTCGTACCTGTTCAGGATGGGCAAAGCCATGTCACCCGATTGTATCTACTGCCCAGGCACTCCCGACGACGCGGAGCACACCTTCTTCCGCTGCCAGCGTTGGGAAGGTTCCCGCCTGGAGGCTGAGCAACATGTAGGGCAGTTGTTGGTGGACACGGTCATTCCGATGATGACGGAGGGTGAGGACAATTGGACCTGTATGTCACATTTCGTCCAGGATATTCTCCGCACAAAGAAGCTAGAGCTTGACCGAGATGCGGTCTAGGTCATAAAGAAATTGAATGCCAGAAACGGCGCGAGCCCTGAGGGCTTAGGTCACACGTTGACCTGACCTGAAGTAATGTGACAAACAATCCCAGGTCTGTGTCCAACAGAGTAGAGGGGGTTTTTTAGTGAGTAGTCTGACAAGCTCAGGAGTCTCACACTACAGGCTGGCTACCTGTGTGCGTAAACGCATTTTTACCTCCTCTCCCTTAAAAAAAAAAAAAAAAAAAAAAAGTGGTCAGAGCATTGGACTTTCAATCTCATAGTCCTGGGTTCCATCCTACCTGGCAGCAATATCTTTTTGCTCATTAAAAATTGTTTAAATATTAATTGTAACATTTTATTTTCATTTAAGGATTATTTAATTTTATTTGTAAGCATAATATTTATTTTTTAATACATTTCCTTTTGTCATAAATTGTGTTTTGTTATTTTTCACAGCAATCAAGTATCAGGAATTAGCATAAAATTTCAAGAGGTTAGAGTTAGGATTTTATTGTTTTAAAAGGCCTTAAATTTCCTCTTTGGCCTCAACAGTTGGAGATCAGATAATTGAAGTTATACTTAATGTTTATGATGTTTAAATGCAGATTTTGTGTCAGTTATTTAGAGGTTTAACCCAAACTTTGACCAAGGGCTAATGAAATCCAACTAGATTACAATGGGCACTCAGTCTATGAGGTCAAAAAGGTTCATAGTATAAAAGAAGCTTTTAGAGATAAGATAGGCTATGTCAATAGCCTTTTACTCATGTAAGTTAAGCCTGCATTTTTAGTCCATCATCTCTTGTTCAATTCTTGTTGTTGTTTGTACTTCAATTGTTTCGTACAAAATTAAGGATTTTTCTTTTTTTACATTAGAAAGCATTTATTTCCTAATAACAGCCAGTTGTTATTAGGTTGTTTGTTATTTTTCATGAATTACAATATGTCTCCAATACTCACTGTTCTATAGTTATATCTCTCGGACAGTCCCCGGGACTCTCGCCCGGGAACTCGTGGGGGTGAGTCTGGATCGAGTGAGGGTAGAAAATCTGCATCACTTTGGCAAAGTCTACACTTTGGACCAGCTCATTGATTTCCTCGTCATAAAAGTCATGGCTGAATATAATTAAAGTACTTTCTATATGACGTGCCTGAGCCAGACTCACAATCAAATGTCGGAGATATACTAGACGAGTGTGGATCTGCAACAATTAGGCAAACCATTTACTCATCGAAGGGGTTGATTTATAATCATTTTTAAAGCTTAGTACCTATTTAAATTTTATTTATAATTTCAAATTGTGTAAATGTGTTATTACTAGTAAGTTAACTATTATCTCTTAGAACAGTTTCTAAACTTAGAAAAATTATGTTCTTCTATTCTAGGTTTTTTAGGATACAACAACATTTTCTTCCCTAATATTTGAATGAAGAACTGTTCAACATACATTTTAAAAACAAGAATAGAATAGAATATTTATTGTTCTCAAGCTTGGGATTCGTAAGCTAACCTGTATGACAATGATGATGGTGTCATTCTGCACAGGTCCAAAGACATCTTCATTGTGAACAATCTGGGCAGAGTTGTATTTCATGATGTTCCGTTTGATCTCCTCTATCGTCAGCTGGTGAGGAACTTCACTGAAGTTGGACGTCAAGTGTTGGGACAGGTTGCGTGGACGGCTTGTCAGGAACTTGTGTAGCACCTGCGATCATTTAGGTAATTATTTGTCATGCCTTACACGATTGTAGATTACAAATTATGGTCATGTAAGTCTACTAAATGTTCATGTTGTAAAAGTACTCACCTGTGGTACCATACTGAGAATTGCTTGTGAAGAGTCGTTCTCAGAAACCTGATCCTGATGTGAGGAGCTTGATAGATTCGACATATGAAGTTGCAGCCAAACGAATGTAACCAGGAACAAGAATATGGCAGTGCGCAGACAGCTAGCAGTGCGACGGCGGCCTAGTGCATGGGGAGCCACCACAATCCTCACTGCCCGCCCACCTGACAAAACAAACAACAGTCATTCTGCTATCCGTCACTTTAGAAAAGCTCATTGATTCATTTATAATGAAGGCAGCTAAGTGTTGAACTGGAACTTGACTGTACAAGCTGTCATGTTAAAACTGATAATATAAGCATGTATAGGTATTTATTGTGAATGAAAATTTTTTTTTTCAAAAATGTGTGAAATTTTTTAAACTAGAAATTTAGGTGGGAAATCTGTTATCCAGCCTATCAATTAACCGTCTTAGTCCAATTCTCGAAGGTGACACATTGTACCTTAAGGCCTATAGCACACAAGAGCCTTTTTGTCAGCCGACTGTCTGGCTGGAGTAGGGTGGACAATCGAAAAGTCGTAAAGACTGTTTAGTCGCTGACTGTGGGTGCGCACACGCCGACTGTTGAGTCGTCTTTCGAGAGTCAAAAGGATGGATATGACAGAAACCGCTGTCATACATGCGTTACTGATCAGATTTCGTGCAAGAAAACGTAAAAGAAAATACTGGGTGCATCCAATTTATACTCAGAGAATCTTGAAAGGCCAGTTTTACCTATTATACTCAGATTTAAGAAAATATCTGGACAGATTTTTCTGTGTTTGCATCTGGGTCATCCCCAGTTATCCACCACTGCTTCAAATAACTCTCCCCTAACTCTTAAACTTTTTCACCCTACAAAACACTTGCACTTGTCGCAGCCATAACACACTTGACTGTCTTCGGAGCACACACACAACAAAACTCTGTCATACTGACAGACTTTTTAGTCGTAAGTGTGCGCGTTCAAACTTGTCTCTATGCCTTCTTTATCAATATGACAAGACAGTTGAATCGGGGAGCAGTCGGCGGGAAAATCGGTCAGCCCCAAAACGCCCCGATTGTCTGCAGACAGTCTGCCGACTACGGTCGGCCCGTGTGTGCCCTCAGATTTACCACTATGGAGCCGACTACGACAAAATTGTCAGCTGACAAAAAGTCTCTCGTGTGCGGTAGGCCCAAAGTGAAGATTTTAAAGAATTCAATGAAATAATTGCATATGATAGTTTTATTTTTCAATACAAGTTCCTCACAAACACATTGTATAACCCCAAGAAAGGATTTTGAGGAATAAGAAAAAAAGGTTTGTTCAGTACCTTGGTGTAGTTTAAAGAACAATAAATTTAGGTTTAGGGTAAAAGTTTATACAAACAAAATCCTATAAAAAAATTGTAAAGTTTTCAATTAATCTTTTAAGGTTTGTTGTTATGAGCTTAATTAACTGATAATGTTGCTTTAAACTTGTCTGAGTGTGACACAGTCAAAGTGTTGAAGGAAAGAGATAAGATAAGATCATGCTTACAAGTCAGTTCTGATAGCAAGTTCTGTAAGTCCATACCAATTATCCATCTAAGAACAGGAACATCACTAGATATCAATAATCAAGAGGCTTTACTTTCTCTTAGAAAATCAAATCTGTAGGCTACTATCAATTTTAAATAAATTCAAGTGTTTCTTACCTCGCATAGCTTGAAGCAAACTTCTGCGACTGAAAAAAAATGTAAACTTAGTTTATTTGAATAGTAAACTTTATAAACTTCAGTATAAGATATTTATAACAGATACTAATATATGAATATTTATCAATAAATTGCGTTGCACATTTTTTTCAAAAACTACATACACCTCTATTCCTAGGTGAAATGTTGGTTTTTTTTAATAGACCAATGATGAGGGTACAAAGGGGTCAATGGTACAAACTTCAATTTGATTAAAATTTTGTTTTTAATCACATTTAAAATCCATACTATTATATAAAAATCTAATGGTGTCTGTCTGTATGTGTATTTTTTTTTTTTTTCAAAGCCAGTGGCATTTCACGAGAGAAATGTTTAGTGAATGTGCCGAGGATTGAACCCGTCCCTCCCGCACCGAAGTCCGAGACGCTAACCACTAGGCTAGCAACACAACCATCCACCACCTATTAGTATTGGTGTATTACTAATAGGTGGAAAAACTACTCAGGTACACTTCCATATGTAGCCGTTGGGGGGTAACTGATTAATAGTGATTGATTGGAGGTGTAAAACTAAATTGAGCGTGCTGATTCTGCTACCAAATTAATTAATGAAGGACGTGTTGGGGACCAGAGGACGGAGATCTTTTACCCAGACCGGAAGCTTGCATAGCCAGCTTTGATTTATGCTAACACAACTAATTTACTAAAAACTATCCTTCCAAAACTTGTGACCTAGAAAATGACTGATAATGAAATGATAGACTGGTGATTGAACTACTTAAATAGGAAATGCCTAACAATTTATTGAAAATAACTATGGAAACTTCTGGGGAAAACGTGTTGCCCTAATCATGTTGAAAATGGTCCGAGCCTGAAGGGCTCGACCAGTAAATTTCCTAATTCCTACATTTCAAATGTCAGAGGACCCTTGTAGGTCTCCCCCCTTGTTGCTAACTAGCCTGACATATTAACCTAGTATATAATTTATAATTATTCTAGTAACTTAGCCATTTAATAGATTTTTCAGGGCGAGCAGCTCTTCTGTGGGAATTCTTGATAGTCGTTGGCGGTGAAGTGGGAAGAAGGTTGGGAAAGGTCGGTGGGGGAAGCCGTTCGCTTGCTCGCGGTGGGCTGACGAGTTCGCCATGCAGCCCTGCCACACGAAGCGCTGACACTATAAGAAATATAGCGTGCCGCTATGCGTCACACATATCTGTTGGCACAAACAACCGAATGAAAATATCAATCGATATATTGTTTGGTTAGTTAGGTAAGGTTAACCTAACCTAACTAACCAAACGATATATCGAAGTAAACAATTGAATAATCAATATTACTCATTAGGTTGTTTGTGCCAACAGATATGGAAGTGTACCCAAACTACTAAACCAACTGGGCTTGAAATTCACAAAAATATAGCTACCATACCAAGGACCATTATAGGACCATTCACACTTTGACACCGACCGTGGGCTTTGCCCCTTTGGCTTTAAAAGTTCTGAGGTGAGGATTTTAAAAGTAAATAATTGGTCTCCATGGCTGCAATGAGAATACTCAAAATGTTTACATTAGCTTTGACATTTCAATGTAAACAAGAAGAACTGCCAAATTGCATATTTCACAATTGAAGACAGCTGATCCAATGAAATTAAATATAATCTATAAGTATAAAAGAGGATGTTTGTATATTTGTTTGGCAGTGATAAACTCAGACACCGCTGAACCGATTGCCACGAAACTTGGTACATACGTGTAGAATTTCATGGAATAGGTTTATACACCATCAATTTCGTGATCCGTCCAATCGGCTCCTCCCCAGTGGCTCTGGAGTTTCCCATGTTAACCTTATGAGAAATGGAATTAATGAATCTTAACAGCTGTTTCAATTAAACAAGTTGGTTCTGTTCTATGATGTTCAATAGCATTAAAGTTACAAGGATTACCAACAGGGTGCAGCACTATTATTTCTTTTACATTTATGACAACAGCTAATTTGCAACCAAAAGGTGAGTGAGCGTAGCGAACGAACTTCAAACTGGAGGCGAGTTAGCGTAGCGAACGAGCTAACCTGAAGGCAAGTGAGCATAGCGAACGAGCTAACCTGAAGGCAAGTGAGCGCAGCGAACGAGCTCCAACCTAAATGTGAGTGAGCGTAGCGAACGAGCTCCAACCTAAAGGTGAGTGAGCGTAGCGAACGAACTTCAACCAGGACGTGATTGAGCCATGCGAACGAGATCATCTTGAAAATTAAGAAGTTAAACGGGGCAAAGCCCGCGGGTTACAGCTAGTATCTATATATAAAGCCAAAAGTACCCATGAACTTTTGAGGAAACTACAAGTCACACCCCCATAAACCATACACTTAAAATGTTCGTCATGACGAGAAACCTTGCCCAAAATTATCCATTATTTCTTAAATTGTCCTATAAGGTCGTAATTGATTTCCAAAGGGAACTTTCCATATACCTAATGTTAAAAATACATCAGCTGTAAGTATGTTTTGTTTATTTCAGCTTAACCTAACCAATCAATAGTTTTATTAATACTTATGAAGTCAAACGGGGTGAAGCCCGTGGGTAACAACTATTTTCCATAACTATGAGGTAGGTTTATTTTAATCTAAAGTTTTATCAAATACCCCCGCCGCAGCAAACCTGCAGACTAAGCGAATTTCCATTTGCCTGATTGGATTTACACTAAAATATCTCCTTAAAAATATCACATTTATTCCCTATTTAAATAGAATCAGTTTAACACATAGTTAGGTTTGCTGCAACAGGGAGGGTGAAAGTGTTTTTTTATGAAAAATGTTAATAGTTAGTAAGAAATAAAAACATTTTCCAAATTTGGGCAAAACATGTTAATAAACAAGCAAACTACAACAGTTTACTTATTCTCCATAAGAATAACATGAGAATTTTAAATTTACAATTTTTTGGAATTTTCTCCGTAACCATTAGGCGCATTATAACGCTTCAATATACTAAATTATTTGTTTTTTTAAGCTCTACAAAATTGTTTGGAAAGAAATTGCAAAATTTTATGTTTTTTGGGTCAAAAATGGGAAAAACCCATTTTTACCCCATAAAAGCCCCCATAAACCCCCGTTCCCATGGTCCAATCATGCTGGTTCGCGAACTCGTTCGAATAAACGTAGGTTCACAGGTTTGTACCAAATTTCATTAAAATCGGATCATTTTTGCTCGAGTTATCGCGCTAACGGACACATATATATATATATATAAATATATATATAAATATATATATAAATATATATATATATATATATGAATTTGAACGGATGGTGTTTTTGGCCTCTAGGGACCTCAAAACAAAAAAAAAAAATCGGTCCCGGGTCCAGGTCTTACCATGAGTACTACGGTAATAGCTTATTCCCTATATGGGAAATTCGCTAAAATCATCTATTCAAAAACTATGTCAATGATTATAGAAATAAAAACAATATTCTAAAAGCGTTGCTGTATCAACTCAGGCTCTGCTTTTGATTTGTTAAGTGTCTTAAGTCTTTTGAAAATAATGTTATTGATATATTTTCATGGAAACAGTAAGAAAATTACAATGTAGCCTATAGATGTTTTGTATGAATTTGGAGGCTACTTTAAATAAATTCGAACTGCTTAACATGTGCTGGATTAACTTAACATAACTTGCACATCACATTGTTTTTTTATAATGTCTATTTAGGTAAATTTAGTTATTGTGTTTTGCTAAGCCTATGCTTAAACTAAAGAATATCACCAATAACTAAATTATAAGTTGATTTTTGTGTTCCTGCCTGCCAGTGACTATCGGTGATTATCGTTTGGTTTGATTTAAATCAATTAGTTTCAAAATTACGATTTCTACGAATGATTATTACGTACGTTTATTCTAATTAATTCACCGTTTTAATACCCCGAGACTTGTCGTCTGAGTTCTAAAACCCGTCTTTGGCGGGCGTGAGAACCTAGTCTTGGGAGTAGGCTGATTTGAACAATCAGCCACGAATATTAGTGTAAAATTTATCTTAAATCATCTCACGTTAAATTATCCGTTCAATTAGATTAATTAGGCTCTGAAGACTCTGTAGGAATTGTTTTACGTTATAGTCTGTTCTATATTATTTACCTGAGCCTTTAGCTGATTATTTTAAAGTTCAATACGGGTATTTATATCAAATTGGCTAAGATAGAATACTCGTCGGTCCTACAGAGTTAATCCAAAAGTTAGGCAAAATTTACCAAAACACTTTAACGAAGGTGAGGATGAAATAGCTTCTACTGAGTGTCTGCAGGATTTCCTGAGCGCTTCTAGAGCTCTGAGCCTTCGATTAAATTTAAATAAATTGATCAGTCAAAGCCGTGACAACTTCGTATTGACCCCTGGATTTTTCTCGGCTCCTTCTGAGCACTCCGGGGAAGAAATTTGAGTGTGGCCGGTTCTAGGGGTAGGCCTAGCCTGACTTAGGTGAATACTAGTTTATTCCCCCCCCCCTAGAATTTTGTGTCACAAGCGTATTAATTTTTTACTAGTGGACCGGAGCACACGGAATCGTGCGCTACGCTAGCAGAGCAATAATAATTGAAATGACAAGCTAAAAACATTTACATGCAGTGCATGGATCCACCATAAATTCACCATTTTCAGCCTATCAGAGTGCTATTACAAAATATCCCAATTTTTTATCTTAGCATCGCGTAATTTCACCATTTCCGCTATTTTATGCGCACTGAAGTATACACACACACTTTCAAATATATTATCATGCAGAAAGTGCTTGTCTGCGACACATAATATTGCAATGTTTTTCATGAGGCAAAGTGCACGCTTACGTGAAACTATATTTTACAATGCAATAAGTGAGCTAATAGTACTGGACCACTATTATAGCGCACTTATAGCATAGTGGACTGCTTATAATACAGTATACATAGGTTTACGATGCATCATAATAAATGTAACACAAAATTTAGTTTTAATTGAAAACATTTTACTGTAAATGTTTATACTACATTTTTAAATACTATATT